TCTGTAGATCTAATTGAAAATTTTTGTTTTACTGTGTGTGTGTTTTCTCCTGTAAGTTTCCTGAACCTGACTGTTTCATAATATATTCTTAGTTTAGTCATTACAAGACCACTGTTTTCATTTGTTTAAATTTAGTGGTTAAAGTGTGCCATTGAAGTAGGTGATCTCATTGCTGTCTGCTCTAAACCAGCAAAGTTAATCACCTGTGAGGTATTGTTTTCACTGGTCAGTTCTGGATAATTTTTTACCTTGGTTCCAGTTGAAGGCAGACATTGTTTTTCATTGTGCTTTGTCAGTTTCTTTTGTCTTATGGTAGAGTTGCTGAAAGTACATGCTTGATTACTTCATACAATGAATGGCACATAGCATTGGAAATTATTGCAAGCTAATTTATCAAGTACACTCTGATAGTGAAGAAACTGCCTTTCCAAGATTCAAAGCATGGAGAACCTTCAAGTGCATGCATAGTATTTTCTCATAATAACATGTTCTCATATAATGTTCTGTTTAGTGTATTTTCTTGAGATTATTTTTACTGATTGTAAAAATTAAGTCCCTGCAAATAGTTTAGAACATGGGAATTGCCAATACTAGTTCGATTAGTGGTCTGTCTAACTTGGTGTTCAGAGTGGATGCTGCCAGAGGATTTAGAGGATTTGTTACTAGCAAGGCATTGCTAATTGTAAGTGTTAAGAAAACCATAAGCTACTGTCGTAACCATTAGGATCTTAATTTCAGAATTTTCTCTCGAACTACAAATCCTTGATTTTTTATTTTGTTTTATTTTTGAAAGAAAATAAATGCTAAGAATCACTGTTTCATTAACATGTACTGTCTGTGTGGTGTAGTGGAGTTGAGAAACTACAATATTTTGTAAGACTTGCAATAAAAATGATAATTTAACAACTTTTTGAGTCATAGTTTAATAATTTACTTGTACCCTGAAAAATTCCAGATTGCATGCCATAAAAGACTGCTCCTACCTAGTGTAATTGTGATTGAATTTTTGTGTAGTTCACCTAGAAATCTCAAGGTCTCCCGAAAGGATTTGGGCTCAGGGTGTGGTACCAATTTGAAGAAGCCCAGATTTCCAAACAGGCAAAGATTTTGTCTGATCATGTGCTCACAGAGGCAAATGACAATATTCCCCCTATTCTGTCTTTGGTTTTTAATTTGTTCTACTTAGAAGCTCCAGTTTAACATACTTAAACAGGGTTTCAAGAGGTCTGATATCCACTGCACTATGGCTAGTGTCTCTGTCTACATAGACGTAGTGCAAGTCTGCCTCTTAGATGACTGTAGAAACAATAGAAAGGTGGCCATTTAGTGTAAGGACAAAGAGACAAGTGTTAGCTCTCTGGCAGTCATTAGTAATAAACTAAAATTGCTGCAGGGGAAGCTGAAAAGTTTGGCAGGCTCAAGGCGAGAGGGATTGGGATATTACTGTCAGGAAACAAGTTTTCTGTGCAATCATTTGAGTTTGTTCAGTCAGCAGCTACTGCGAAACCCCTCCAACTAGGGTGACAATAACCCTGCAGATACAGTGACACACAGAAAAGACCTGTGTGGTAGCTGGTGATTGCAACATCCAGAAGATTAACTGTGTTGTGAGAAAAGATCAAATTTGGTTTGAAAAGGCCTTGCTGACTTACAGCTGATCTGTGTGAAGAGTACAGTCTTGCTTACTGCTTGTTCTCTGTCCTCTTTGTATATTATTTATTGTCATACCATATGCTTTTTTAATGTGCCCTCTTCTCCACATTTTGGTGAATAGAGTCCACACAAACAAGACTGGAAAACGATAACAAGGGAAACATTAAAACCAAGCATTTCCAAAGCTCGTAATGTGTACATTTTCTGGGTACATCAACACAGAAAATTCTCTAGGGAAATTAACTTTTGCTCCTTTATTGCAATTCTTTTATTCCTAGCTGTTACTCTAACAATAACAAAGGACAGGTTTTAAGATATTTTCAATAACTTACTTTCATACTGATTAGTTCAGTAACTGCAAAATTTATTAATCTAAGAGATGTTTGAATTTCATCTGGTGTTATGTATTTGGTATGTATGTAGTGTGTTTCACGGGACCCCTGGTCCATCTATGAGAAGGTCACTCTAAACAAACCTACGTCCTGAGGACCTCACTGCCATTGTCCAAGCTTGCTTGGCCCCGGCAGATGAACCTTAGGATTAAAGGGTGGGCTCAGTACAGCGCATGCTGTGTCTCACCTAAAAAATCCATTGCGCAGGCTGGAAAGGTAAAAGACCTTTCCCAAAATCTTCGTTCGCGAAGACTGGCCATTATATATTATCGTGTGTTTCAGAACACCAAATAATTAAAACTGATTTTTGTTGACTATGATTTATAAATGGGAAGCATCAATTGCAATTTCAAAGCTTTGGTGAAGCAGTTTCATTTTTTAACCAGAGCTGTTGTTCAGAATTAACAAGTTACTACTCTTGACATGGAGAAGTAGACAAAGGAATTGGTTGATTTTCAATTAATATCTGATAAAAGAAAATATGTTTAAATGGAACTAATTTCATAATGGACTCTTCCTCCAAAAAGTATGAGAATTATATAAATTAAGAGAATCTCATCTAAAATTCTGTGTCTCTAAATTAAAGTAGTTGTATTTTTGTGAATTCTTCAAATGTCTTCAGAAGATTGCAGTGAAATATTTTTGCACTTCAAAGTTGAGTGAAGCTTAGCTATTAACCAACTACAGAGAATAAACAGGGAAAATAGGCAAGCTAATGAATGAGGAAGTGAGTGGATTAAAATATTTCCGTTAAATATTTTTCCTGTTTATACTTATTGGCTATTGCTGTTATTTATTGATAAAGAGCAGCTTTGATTTACATGTAATATATTTATTTGGAATAAAGGACTTGCTAATCAGCTATAACTCTTCCTGTGAGCCACCTCAGGACTGATTTCATCTCTTCAGTTATTGTTGCCTTTATTGGACTGCCTCTTGATTTATATCTTAGTATAAAAGAAAAAAATTACTTGTCTTGCTCATTTAAAATATTAGTTTCACATATTTTTCTTAGAATCTACAGCATCATTTAAATCCCAAGAGTTTCCCATTTATCAGCTGATGTGGATTCAGGGCATTAAGAAATTCATGGTTGTCCTTTCACTGTCCTGAAATTTTCAGCCTTTGGGTCAATGATACAGGAGACCTGTTGTGAGGGCCCCTCTGGCACTGTGGGTATATGATTCCAAATGCTGATGTAGGATATAGTCATTCTGACAGTTCAGATTTATCCAGTGCTTTTGAACACACTTTCTGACAGCTTGCCTTTTAGCAGCAGGCTAATGTCAGGTCAGATGTCCATGTTGCACCCATTTGACTTTATGCAAGATCAGATGTGGTCTGTACTTTTGTAGCTGGCATTAAGTCAGCGTAAGCTTCCCATCTTGTGCTCATATTTAGCTCAGCACATGTGGGATTGTATGCTGCTGCCTGATTCAGATCAAACTAATACTGTTTAGTGACCTGCAGGGCACAGACGAGGTATTAATGATGGTCTTCTGACACATTTACGCTTTTATGAAACAGTAGATAAAACGTTATGGCTGTGTTTTGCAAAGCATCAGTCTTTTACTTTGCAGTCTTTGGTGGGAGCTGATGATTTATTTATTCATTCATGATAATCTCCCCCATGCACTTTTAAGTGGAAGAATTGGTATTTTTCCTGATAACAGCAAATGTTTGTCAGCGGAAAAAAGAAAGAAAACCTTTTCCTTCCATTTCAGTCTTAGAGAAATGCCCAGGCAAATGTTTATAAGGACTAGAGTCTTGCATTGCTTTTGTCTATCATTCCAGTAATACAATCTCTCCAAAGTACTCCATTTCTCATTTTTTCCTTTCAGTGACTAGTGACCAGACCATCTTTGGCCATCATCCTTACCCTAACATAACAAATTCTCTTACCTGCTCTCTTCATCCCTGAGGTGCCTTAATAAACTTCTTTCTGCAGTTCACAACCCATTTGAGCAACCTGGAGAAAAACTTGCATGAGTTGTACAATCGTGTCAAAAGTAGATTTAATTTAGAAGAATGGTTTGCTTTGAAGTACTTTTCACTATTAGTCCTGATTTTGCTATTCTGCTTTGTGCAGTATTCTGAACACAGGGAAGCAGCTAGAAATGTGACTTGCCTAATTATTAATTTCCAGCTGTGATGAGAATTTGGTAGATATCCAACAACTTCCATATTATGACCTACATTTTAACTTTCTCATCTCAATGCATTTTAAGGAAGAGAATCTTGTAAACGACCATCTGTGACCTACATCACAACATAAAGTACACAGAGCATTTTGTAGGTATGTCCCTGTATCAGTTTGAGTCATGGCAGCAGTGATTAAGAACAGATTGTGGCCTTCAAAAAAAATCCAGTATACGTAATCCGTGGCCTTCAAAGAAAGTCCAGCATGTGTCTCTCTTTGACTCAGCTCAGATTCCTTTCCCTAGATCTCTGAGGGAAGCTGGGTTCCAGCTGTAACCCTCTCCTGCCAGTAAAACTACGCAACCAGCACTGTAATTTGTGTGCATATTGATGGTCCTCTTGCTTTTTGGATGGCTGGTGTAGGAATAATGGAAGGACTGCCTAAAGCTGTGGGGTTTTCAGGGCATGGTGGTTTTCCGTCAGCATCCTTGGGTTTTCTGTTCCTGCCTTCTTCAGAGAGCTGTGCTTAAGACCAGGCCTGGCCCCCCAGGTGAGGGCTGCTCTACTACCCGGTGATGCCTGGTCTTTAGTTTATGTACTTTGGCACATTTTTTACACGTGCAAAATTTATTAATTCCCTTGTAAAATATTGCTTTTAGTATTTGGAGAAAATGGCAAAATTCTTGTTTGGTTTCCAGGTTGTCCTCGTCTGAGGATTCTCATCACTTTCCCGACTTTCCAAAGTGATGTGAGTTCTGTGGCCTCATCATGGTTTCATGAGAGATGAATCCTAAAACCTGCTGTGTTTATTTTTAGGAGGTCTTGGTTGCGGACATGAGTGCAAGTCCATTGGAAAAGACAGCTACAACAATGCAATAGTTGCCAGCATTCCCATGACAGTTCAACAGCTGGGACCTCTTCCACCTTCTGCTCATCAGGTTTCAACAGCATGCAGCCAGATCAGCCCTAGCTTACAGAGGTCTATGGATGCTTCCAGCCTGAGTGCTTCTCTGTCAGATACAAGGTCCTGAGTTGCTTCTTTGTATTCAGTACTTTAAAAAGAGGGGGTTTTAATTATTCTGTAATTAAAATGCAAACTTTCTGATTATTAAAATCAGAAAATCATGCTCTTTTATGCCATGGGAAATTGAATTCCATGCAATTTAATTCACAGTGATATTGTAGCTATTCAGCTATAATCATACTGTTTGGATCATTCAAATAATGGGTTAAATTTGGCCATGCGAAGTCTATGGTTGATAGGACTTTTTTGTTAGATAAAGACCTTTTTATAGTCATGTAACTAGATTTTTGTGCTATATTGGTGTCTGTCAAGTAGCACTAAAATCCGACAAAAAATTAGGTAAATGCTCTGTTTATGTTCCTCTCTCCTCATCAAATACCTTTGCTTTCAAATGATTTGTTTGTAGAATTATGTTAATCACGTCAATTGGCCCTGAAAACTTGTTAATTTTTCTAGTTCTGGTGAGTAGTTTAGTGAAAACTATGGCCTCTCCCTGTAAATGTTGCCTTTTTATGTCACAACCCCCCAGATGAACATTTATTCATTAATTTTAAATGCTTAAATTTTGAGATAACGACTATGAGTATTGTCAACAAACAAGAATGAAAGGAAAACAGTTATTTGACAACCTTCATACAAATACATTAGGCACGTCCTGTGGATTTCGGAAGCTGCATTCACCATTGCCTACTGAGTTGAAATGTAGCTTTGTATTTACAAAAGGCCACAAGAGTCTTTATTCTCAAAACAGTTTACATTTTACTGTATTGCTTTATTACAAACTAAGGAACATTCTTGAAATAATTAAAATTGGTATTATGTAATTGGAAGTAAACCTTGTTTTACTCTAAGGTAATTTTTAACATTTCTGTCACTTCAGTTATGAAGCGTGAGTCCCCTGGGAAAATTTACAGAATTAATTATGCTTCTTAGGTAAACATGTCAGTAAAAACCATTCAGTGCTAAGATGATGACAAATGACAAATCCAAAGACATGCCTTTGAGATGGAACAAAACTGATGCTAGAAAAATATAATTAAGTAATTGTTACTTGCTTAATAAGTTTTAGGTGTGCCTGTATGGTTCCAAACACTGAATGTGTGGTTGGATGTACTATGTGAGTACTGAGTTATACATTTTTGGTTTTATTGCAAAGAAACATTTACTAAGAGCAAAGTAAAGTTGAAACTCTGGCAGAATCAAGGCTCTAGTGTCCCTAGAGTATCTTTTAGTGATTTATCAGTGAAGGTGTTATAAAGTAAGTTTGTCACACAAAAAAAGTAAATTTCAGCAGTTTTGACCTCAAATTGACTATTTTGTAGGGCAAAACAAATTTAAAGTCAGATTTTAATTCACAGATTGTTGAAACAATTTGGGGCTTTTTGTTTGTTTTTAGTGGGTTGTTTTCGTTCCTTTTTTGTTTGTGGGGTTTTTTTGTGTGTGTGGTTTTTTTTGTTTGGTTGATTTTGGTGTTTTTGGTTTTTTGTTTGTTTTTGGTTTTGTGTTTTGTTTTGTTTTGGGGGGGGTTTGACTTTTTGTTTTGTTTTTTGGTTAAATTCTTTCAACTGTACACTGCTTTTAGCTAAACTAAGTTGACTCCATGATCCTCACAGGGCAGAGTGCCTTTTCTGGATTTTATGTTTCACATATCATGAACTGTGTTCCAGCAACTCAGTCCAAACCAGATTATTTGCTGAATTGACCAAAACCAAAGTGAATAGTATTGATTTTTGTGGATGGAAAAAAGAAAAAAGTTGGCAAAATTGGAGTTCTGCTACAGATAGCATCAGGTCCTGGTGTATAGACCAGGAGGGATAAAGCCTTCCTCGTGTCTTTGAATTTCTGCAAAACTTTTTCAGAGTGTTCAGTTGTGCTGCTTGAAACCAGATGTAATACTGCCATTTGCTTTGATGCAAGTCAGAAAAGGACCTAGGAAAGAGCAAAGGGTTCTTGGCTAGTAAAATAAGCCATGAAAAGAGAGGAAAACATAGTTTTCGCTCTTCGATGTTTATGTTTAAGATTCTGGGTTATATTTTGACACTGTGACCTCTGTACACACAGGGAGAATAGAAAGTAATTGCAAGTAATGTCTTATAAATGTTAATGAAAGATCTGGTCCAAACTCAAGCTGGTTTAAATGACAATAAGCAGATAGGCCAGTTAATACTGTCTGAGAATCTGGCACTCTGATAGAGCTGGCCCTTCATTTTCATATTGGGTACATTTATTTCCTCACAGAAAACTACTTAGTCACAGTGTGAGCTGACTTTTAAATAAATCTTTGGGGTTTTTTTGGAGTTGGAATCTTTATTACTTTTGAATTTAGATGCTGAAGTGGGAACCAAGCTTCTTCAGATTATCTTACTTACTGTATACTTGAAATTCTGGACCAACTTTTTATTTTTGTCCTGTTCTGAGACTTTTAAACACATTTTTTCTTCAAATTCACTGACGGCTAAGTCCGTTTGTGTTAGGCATTGGTAGCTTTTTGAATGACACTGGTCCTACTATGCATCTAATTAAAATTCTTGTCAGTACAAAAGTAGACTTGTAGTAGATTATTGATGCATGATTTCTTTTCCTCTACTCATAGAAAATAAACATTTAAATAAAAAAACTGACAAAACACCCCCAGTCTCCCCTGATATTCTCTAGGTATAAACATATATAGCCTAGCGTGAGGAAATCAAATCTTACTTTCTTGCTCTGTTGAAAACTGTGGATCTGTATTCGGGGTCACAGTATACTAACATGATTTAACTGCCCTATCAACTGCCCATTGATAACAGACCCAACAGCCTAAATCAACTTTTTCACAAATAATTATCCTTTGTACACAAGGGTGACCTGATAGAGCAATCTCATTTTTCTCATTTCTCTCAATGCAAATTGTACTCAGCATGTTAATTGTGCTTTTTGTCAGTGGTCTGTTTTGAAAGTGCCATTTAAACTGTGATGGAGTAACATAAGCTCCATAACAATATGCTGCACTGTTATTCAGTCTAAGCAGGATGTTTCTTATTCTGATACAACAAATTAACCATCCATTACAAAGCAGGTATCTTGCACAAAGGAGCATTTCCCCATTACTCCCACTGGTCACAACAGCAAGGCTTGGTGTTCTTTAAAGCTTCATTTTCTCTGTTTGTGAGCTATCTCAGTGTACAGACATAGCACCTGCAAACTGCTTCCTCTGTCCTTCAGCATGTGCCAAGCGTCCCCTCTTATGTCCTTGATCCATCACTGAAATTCTGTGCTTCTTCAAAACTGTATTGTAAAAATAATAGAATCAAGAATTAACCCTCAAAAGATAAGATGTAGAGGCTTCTGTGTCTGTGAGATTGCTACGTTTATCTAGGTACATACCTGATTCTTCCTATTGTCACAGCCCCTTAAAAATTTCCTGCCAGCCACTACTGGCTGGTAGGAAATCCAAGTCTGCCAGGGTATGAACTGGAAACATAAAGACATACATCCACTGGATCTCTACCCAGCATTTGCAGCCATAAATCAGGGACTCTGATGTCCTTGTATTTCCTTTTTATACTTTTCTGTAGAAAACAATGTTTTTAAGAGCTTTTGAGTTGGGGTTTTTAAGCTACCTGTAGAATATTTGCAGCATAAAGAAGTTCCATAATTTCCCTGTGAAAAACCACTGATAACAGCAACATTACACTTTCGTGAAAAATTTTGACTGCTGACTTGGAAGCAGATACATCGTCAAATCAAAACTAAATAAACCCCTTCAACCAGTTCTTCTACCTTACTCATTTATTTTGTTTGTTTTGTAAAGTTGGATATTATCTATATTTATAAACTTGATATATAAAACTTCTCTAGGGAAGTATTTGCATTACAGTTGGCAAAATCACTCAGGTTAAATATTTATTCTCTATTAATCAGTTTTCTTCCCACTATGTTCAAGCAAAAATAATAGGCGACTCAAATCAGTATGAGTTTCATATAAGACAAGAACATAATGCTTTAGCTTCAGAAGTCCAAACCTATTTACACCACAATTGGTGAAAAGACTTATGTTGATTTCTGCAGTGGTGTATGAAGAATCTTTACAGCAATTTTTCTTCAAAATCTTGAAGTTTTAAAATGGGTTTCTGAGTGACCTTTTTGCATATGACCTTTTTGCCTCTAGTGGTACATTAACTGAGTGTGCTAAAGTTGAGTACCTAAAATTAGGGACAACTTTTCTCACATGTATTCTTAATTTTAATGTGTGTGTGAAGGTGAAAGAACCACTGCTGAATTGTCTAACTGCTTACTTACTTTATCATGCCTTTATTTCAGGTCTCTCTTGTCACATGAGTCTCTGACATCTACAACATTAAGCTTCTCAGAAGGTCAGTCCACTTTGGGCGTTAAACAAGAGTGGTCACACGGGTACAGGACACTTCCTTCTGTCCCTCCTGACCATGGTTTACAAAATGGCAGTGAGCTGGGGGATCTAGTTTCACCTGAAACATATATGTCCAGTAACCGCATCTCTAACTCATTACTGTCCTACTTGTATGGCATGGAAAATAAGCATTCCCTTTACTCTAGTCCTCACCATTCCTCAGCCCCATCTCAGTCAGTCCGCTCCAAAAAGAGAGCACTGTCTGTGTCTCCTCTGTGTGACGGCATTGGGGTCGATTTCAATACAATCATCCGTACATCCCCAACCTCCCTGGTGGCCTACATCAACAACTCCAGAACGTCGCCAGCAAACATCTCCCCACAGCCTGAGGTCTATGGACATTTTTTAGGAGTGAGAGGAAGCTGCATACCCCAAAATTGCTCTATTCCAACTGCACAGAAAGGCCTCCTCATGGCAAATGGCAATGTCACCTTCCCAGGGTATGCTGAGAATGGGGCCGGTGAGTACCAGCGGATGCAGCAGCTGGAGCAAGCCAGCTTGCAGATGGCTGCCACAGGTAACATGGTGATCCAGCAGGGCATGCTGCCCACAGACAGCCAGACAGTGGGAATCCTGAAAAATGAACGACTGGATGAGTTCTCAGGCCCTATGGTGGACATGCCTCCTCCACCCCTGCAGCTGCCACCACCTCCTCCACAAGGGCCGCCCCCACCGTACCACGCGCATCAGCACCAGCATCCACACAGCCTGCCCAGCCATGTTCACCCACTGCATGTGCCTCCTCCTGCCCCAGGCTCCCTGCTGGATGAAGAGGGTGAGCTAGATGATCTCAGCAGCAAACATGGCTGTCTCTGGGTTGACTGCGGTAAGCTGTATGACCAACAAGAGGAACTCGTGCGGCACATAGAGAAGATTCACATAGACCAGAGGAAGGGAGAGGACTTCACTTGCTTCTGGGCAGGGTGCCCTCGAAGGTACAAGCCATTTAATGCCCGTTATAAACTGCTGATTCACATGAGAGTCCATTCAGGAGAGAAGCCAAACAAATGCACAGTAAGTCTGAATTCTTTCTTTCTTACCAATTAAAGTCTCTCCATTACTTATGAAAATATAGAGAAGTTGTAATTCTGCCTTTTTTTTTTCCCGTTTAATAGTGTACTTTCTAAATTGGTCTGTGAGAGTGAATGTTTCTGTCTTTCCACCTAGATAGAAGGGAAAAGTATTCTTTAATTTGATGCATACCTACAGATAGGATTAGACAAAATGTTATTTTCTAAATTTATAAACTTTTACTGTAGACTGCAAACAGTGACATGGTGGACCTTCATAAAGCAAAAACTTAAGTACTTGCATGAAGGATACATGCAGGAAAGGTGCTGCAGAATAAAGGTTGCAATTTATCCTGAAATATTCTTGCATCGTGTTACACCTCTTTGATATGAGGAATTTTCAGGATCCTGTGTAATGATATAATGAGAAACTGAGAAAAGCTGGGAATTTTTTAAGGCAGTTGTTTGTTTTGTTACTATAAAAAACCAGACCCACAGCCCTGTTTCCACGAATATAGTAGAAATAAAGCACATAATAATTTTTCTGTTCTCAGATACTAGCAGTGAGCATTCAACCCCTAAAGTCATGTTTTTCTTGCTGTTTTCCTTAGGGTCACTGCAAGTCAGTCTCACATATAGATAGTCATGTGGGGTAATAATCTATCTGTTAAGAATCAGTTTATACATAGTCTCCAGTGCACCATCTATAATCTCTATAATTCAGATTCTTGATTTGCCTTACATATGGTCTGTATTTTGGATGACAGTAAGCTTACACTTACTATGTGTTTATTTAGTATCAGCAGAAAGCAACCTCACCAGTGCTGTTTTAAGTCCTCAGCATAAGCTAACAAAATGATAAATATATAATTTCTAGGCATAAGTGCTGATTATTACTCACTTGAAAAAAAATATATGTTTATGTTTGGTGAAATATAAATTGGTGCTTCGAGTCTATTTCAGTGTGTGCCTTGTTGAGTAGTTTTTTAACCATGATGTAAATGTTTGCTTGTACAGTACATAGAGAAAGTTTATTTCTTTCACTTTTGTTTCTTCAGTCAATCACCTTTCACCTTCAGGAAGAGTGGATATCTTCCCAGATTTCTCTCATGAATTTAAAGGACCCAGTAGAAATTGTGTCCTGACACTAGGAAGCCTCTTTATCCTTCCCTTTTGTCACACCAGAGGTTTAACTCAGGCTCCCTGGTCTCTAAATATTCTTTTAAATTCTGTAATATTCTTTTTATGCTCTCCAGATGTATTGGATCAGACCATTAATTTCAGTTCCTCCTCAGGGATTTCTCGTCAACTTTGCCGGGAGAGAGAGAATGAGGAAAAAAAAGAATTATTGTGAGTCAAGAAAGTAATTTTTCAAGGGAATATCACATGTAATTAAAGATATGAAAACAGGCATCATGAAAACTCACAGATGAGTGAGGACAGACAACAGTGTGAAGAAAGAGGGCAGGAGTGGTGAAAGAGCACTGAAATCCAAGTACCTAGGGTCTTTCTAGTCGGACAGTTATGATAAGGGATCCTGTAAGACTGGGGAAAGCATTGTTTTGGTAGCAGTCTATACTTCTTGCCCTGCCTGTTTAGAAAGGGTACTTGCTGACCTGCTCATGATTATAATTCCTCCTTGAGGATTCCTTATCTTTGAAGGAATCATCATTCACTGATTATTAATAATGTTTAAGTGGATAAGGTACTTCATATGATAAAGTTTTTGAAATTACTAAACTGAAACTAAAGTTCATGCCAAGTCATACTGTGTCACCAAAAATGAGAGATATTATCTGTATTAGCTTCCCAAAGAGTGATTGCTTTTTAAACATTAAAAGTTGAGATTAACTTTACTGAACTTAAGCAAGTACTGCTGGATAGCACCAAGAAGTTTGCACATCAGAAGGAGCAGCCAAATATTTAACTTGCTTTCATGTTTAGAATTGTGATGAAATGTAGAAATATTCAGGGTGGTATTATAACCCTCATAATGTGGGCATGCAAAAATGGCATTCTTTATCAGTGTTTCAGTGAAACAGCTTGCTCCCTTCTTTCTTTACTGTTTCACAAACGGTGTGAATTTGGAAAAATGTATTTGGCTTTCTGTTGCTCAGGGGCCATGGTCTTTTGATGTATTTAGGAAACTATACTTCAGCCAAATATCATACCTTTCTCACCAAGCAGTAAAATTTGCAATCATATCAATACAATTTAAGCTTTTAAACAGAGATTCCAAGTGAGATATTGGGAGAAAATTTTAAGCAAGGTGATAATGAAGTATGATTTCTGTAATTCACAAAAAATTATGGAAAAGGAATCTGAAACTTTTCACCAAACCTCTATGAATTTATGCTTTTAAGTCTAAAAATTAAAGCAATCTATTTGTAATCTTTATTTGTCTACCCAGAGGTTTTCTAGAATTTATTTTCTGGTTCTACGTGTAGGATGCCTCTTTCTCTAAAATTATTATGAAGTCATAGTCTATGTCCACTGCAGTTTGCAGACTAATAACAGGCAGTCTAGTAGACCAAGCAGGAAAAGGGAAGGAAAAAATGTCAAATACATAGCTGTTATGTGAACGAACCAGATTTACTGCAGAAAATATAGCAGAAGTACTCAGACATTAGGAGGAACTATCTCAATATATATCAAGGCATCCTGTAATCAAAGGCAGGCCGTTACACCAGTCACCCTAGTGCCATCACACACTATTCATTATGTAAGAATTGCATGTATTGATGGTTCCTAACATTTTGCAAGAGACAATCTTCTCATTAAACATATATTGCAATGGGTGCTAGTCAGTATATTTATCATGTCATTATATTTATTTGTCAGTATTATTTCTTTCTGCGCAGTTATGTATTGAAAGAATATTATTATACACTGTGCTGCATATCCCAGTGCATTACTGTGATAGTTAGTGAGCTTTACATCAGCAAGCATTACAAGGTTTTGGTGATAAAAGTTCAGGGTTATTTCCAAGTTGTATTGCTGTAATGCTAGTAGAGATAATGTGAAATCAGATACACAAGTGAACTTCATAAGATGAACTTCATAAATTCATTTTATTCTTCTGTATTATTGTTCTGTGATGATGAAATCATATAGTTAAGAGACTTGAGGAACAGCCAGGACTGCAGTACTTGATATGCTTATAGTTAAAATCAGAGCCAAGTAGGATATCCCTGTGACCTCAGCATCTGTTTTGCCACATCTGAACCAGTATCTATTTATCTATGTAAGAAATATTTGGAGTCATAAACTATAGCTACAAGCGATACTCTAGTCATTAGTTCCTGCTCGTTCTGGGTGAGCAGTCATCTTCAATTCTGAAAGATAAAACTGTTAAAGGGTGAGTAGTAATCGGATAGCAGCACACCAAAACATGTGATGATCAGGATAATCAGATCCAAAGTTAAAGATAAGCACTTTTAAGGTCAGTCCCCGAACATACTTGTTCCTTCAGTGCAAAGGTAACTAGCATGAAGTGGAAAATAATTGCATACCAATCCTGATAGATTTGTTTCGACCTGTTGTTCTTCTGTGAGTTGGGCTCTTTTTTTCCATCTTTAGCTGAATTTGCTGCTGAAGCTGCAGATTAGGTCTCATCAATTTGTTTCAATATAATATCTCTGTGTAAGGAAAAATAATAGTGTATTTTTCATTCCTGTCCATTTTCAGAAGACTCATTCTTGTTCTGAACAATAACAAAAAACCCCTGTAATTTTAAAAAGCATTAATTTTATGGAGTCCTGCATTTTCTTTTACCAATGTAGGTGACTGTACTTCGCCTTGCTTTATTAGGTCGAAATCTGTGAAGTTGAAGAGTAGATGCATGCAAGAAATTGAATTCATTTGGAATAGGAATTCATTAAATAACTGTTAAAATATATTGGGCTCCCTTACTGTTCACTAAAACATCTTTCAGGTTCTATTCCAACTTATTATACCTGGAAAACATTCTTCTTTTCAGTGACCTGCTTTAATGCCTAAAAAATTATTCATGACATGGTAATACATATTTAGTGCCTACTCCTAAACTTCTGTATATGAGGTAGGTATGGCATGTTCAAATGTGTTTATCCATTAATCTGTACATTAGTTTGAACTTTGTAGGAATAAGTTAAAGAAGAAAAATGTGAATGAAAAATTCATGTTGAAATGCAAGCAGTAAGTACACCAGTGGCTGAGATATATATAATCTGTAACATTTGCCAGCAGTTACCACACAATGGCATTTGAGGCTTCTGCAGATTTCCTTTGGATTAGAAAAAAGTAGAATTCCCAGTAGCCGTGGAAACTTCACAGTGGCAATTGGCAAATGCTGACCTTTTGCTCACTTTGTCTCTACCTGTGAGCTCATTTTCTGTTCAGATTCCCTTCTTTTAAAGTGCGCATTTTTACTTTTTAAGTTCAGCTGCAACAAGAGGTATTTAATTAGCCTTATTGTCATGCTGTGCAAACATTAAGCTTTAATATATTTATTCTAGTGAAAGCAGCAACAGCATGTAGTTAAGAGATAAATTCCAAGCTATCTTTTTACAGTTTCATTCAGATACACTGAGAATGCTTCCCCTTTTGAAACTGAATTCAGTCTTTTTTGTTTTCTGTAAGTTCTGAGTTGTGCTTCAGCACAATGCCACTAGCATTATTATGGAAAGTGTTACATGACAACATTTTTTTAGCACAGCTGCTTGATGTGATTTAAACCAATAAAATTGCTAGTATTCCTGTCAGATTTGAAACAACATCCATTTAACATCTGCTAAATATCTGAAGTTATCCCATAATACATCAGTTTACGAAGCACCTGAAACAGAAGCTATGGTGAAAAAAAAAAGAATGTGAAACTTAAAACAGTTGTATAATGCTTTTTTTTTTGAGACACAAGAAAACTTCTTTGGGTGAGCATGAGTATTTAGATAGATTTGTGTGTGTGCTATTTGAAGAATATATGATTGGAAAATGGTGGTCAAGATGAAATTTTGTTTAAAATCA